GAACCAGGAAGAGTCATTCTCTGAACACAGCTCATACAAATTCACGGCATAAAGCGGGGCACATGGGGCCCAACTCAAACAGAGGCATTACTATGATTGCCATGAGAAAGGAACCACAATTCCACCAAAAATGGACAACTGTCCTTTTTATAACAGATGCTTCTTCCAAAAGTTGTGAATCTCTATGCCTCTTCCAGATCTGCCAGTGTCTGGGATTTTTCTTACTATTACGGTAAAATATATGTAACATAAAATATATCATTTTTAAATGTGCAGTTCATTAGCATTAGGGATATGCATGCTGGTGTGCAAGCATTACCACCATCCATGTCCAGAACTTTTGCATCTGCCCAAACTGAAGCTCCATCCCCAGTCAATAATAACTCCCCATTCCTCCCTTCCTTTAGCCCCTGGAAATGATGTTACTTTCTGTCTCTGTGAATTTGACTAGTCATATAACTGGGAAATCTATTTTAATTCATCCACAAAACTGATTTCCAGAACTGAAATAAAATTCCAACAGCAAGGGCAACTGCTATTATCACTGTCCATTTGCTCTACACACACACATACAACTTATCACTATTGCAACTAAGAACCAGAGATCTTCTTCCATTGTAAAACAAAAGGCAAAGGGATCATCCTCTGACTGATCTAGACACAGTGATTCTCATATGGAAGGAGCTGGGGAAAAGGTAGCATCAGAAGGTCCAGCAAAGAACCAGAGAGCATGGGGGATGCAACAGGGTGAGCACAAATTCATGGGTTCTTCTTAAAATTTTGTCCTCAATAAAGGTGTATCCAGCTCATGGATCCATCCACTAAAGCATCCAGAAGCCACAGGACATCTATAAAAAGGAAGATTAAGGTAGATCTTGGTGCAACCGAAAAGAGTAAATGCCAAGCTCAGGGAAGCACAATTTAGGGAAGAAGCACCATGATGGTCTGAGAAGTCCTCTCTAGTCTTCTTCATGGGAATGGTCCCACATCATCTGCTTCAGATGATGAATACAGGAATGCCCTAACATACACCTTGGTGAGTAGCCCAGCAGGGAGAAACAGGGTACAACACAGCAACACACGTTCACCAGTGGTAACAGCAGCTGCCATCTCCTGGGTACTCACCACGCCAAAAAAGCTTTCCTAGGTGTTTTGCACATACTATCTCATTTAATCTTCACAACAACTCTACGGAGTATGAATACTGTTATTGTTCCCTCTACATAAGAAAGAATGTGACACACTCAAGGTCATCAGGTTTATGAAGTAGATTCACTACTAGATCTATATTACTCCAAAGTCCATGTTTTTAATTAATAGCCATTCAAGATAAAAGGCATTTTCATGCCCTCATGGCAAAGAAATAAAATTGTTCATTAGAAATCTCTTGGCTGAAAATTTTGAATGCTTAAAAATAGCCCCAATTAAGCTTCAGCAGGTTAAATGTGGAACAAGCACCAAATTCAGGATCTCTCCAGTCTCTGAGGTTGGACATGTGATCCCAGGGCAGTCCATTGACGTCTCTGGCCCTCGGTTTCCAGGGAACTCATAAAGCACAGCTACTTCCCTCTGTTCTCCTCCTACCTCAAAGCATTCCATGAGACCAATTACCCATGCTGAGAAAACAAGGCTAACACACAAGGATGAACCTGTTGACTAAAGGTTTCAGTCTCTTCTCTCGCCAACCATCTTTTTAGCTCAGAGCTTCTCAAAGAAGTTACCAGTTAACCAGCAAATAATTACCCAGCACCAGTAGCTTTAGCAGCCACATAGGAATATTCAGAAGTACAAGCTGCCCTTGAGGACCTGTCTCTAAGTCGGGGGACTTTTAAGTACAAAAAGATCTGGTAGGCTCAATATTCAGTATCCAGCTATGATTTACCAACTAGAGGTATTAAAAGTCAGAAGGACGGGGCCAGCGCTGTGGCGCGGTGGGTTAATGCCCTAGCCTAAAGCGCCGGCATCCCATATGGGAGCCGGTTCAAGACCCAGCTGCTCCACTTCTGATCCAGCTCTCTACTATGGCCTGGGAAAGCAGTGGAAGATGGCCCAAGTCCTTGGGCCCCTGCACCCACGTGGGAGACCCAGAAGAAACTCCTGGCTCCTTGCTTCGGATCAGCACAGCTCCGGCCACTGCGGCCATTTGGGGAGTGAAACCAACGGATGGAAGACTTCTCTCTCTCTCTCTCTCTGTCTCTATCTCTCTCTCTTTGTCTCTCTGTCTTTCCTCTCTCTGTGTAACTCTTTCAAATAAAATAAATAAATCTTTTTTAAAAAGTCAGAAGGACATCAGCAGGAACTATCAAAGTTGAAGTTTCTAAGACAAAGTAAACTTTTAAAACAATCTTGATAGATAGATACTTTTGAATATGAGGAAGGGAAAGGCATCAGGCAAAGCAATTGTGGGAGCAAAGGATCTGGGGTTGGGTGGAATAATACACAGGAAGGGTGACCAAGAAAAAGCTCAGGCTGGCGCCGCGGCTCACTAAGCTAATCCTCCGCCTTGCGGCGCCAGCACACCGGGTTCTAGTCCCGGTCGGGGTGCCGGATTCTGTCCCGGTTGCCCCTCTTCCAGGCCAGCTCTCTGCCGTGGCCAGGGAGTGCAGTAGAGGATGGCCCGAGACCTTGGGCCCTGCACCCCATGGGAGACCAGGATAAGTACCTGGCTCCTGCCATCAGATCAGAGCGGTGCGCCGGCCGCAGCACCAGCCGCAGCTGCCATTGGGGGTGAACCAACGGCAAAGGAAGACGTTTCTCTCTGTCTCTCTCTCTCACCACTCTGCCTGTCAAAAAATAAAAAATAAATAAATAAATAAAATTTAAAAAGCTCAGAAGAACTCTTGGTGAGCATCTGAGTGAGCTGTGGGGATGAGGATAAGAACCAGTCGGGGCCGGCGCCGTGGCTCACTTGGTTAGTCCTCCACCTTGCGGCACCAGCATCCCATATGGGCGCCGAGTTCTAGTCCCGGTTGCTCCTCTTCCAGTCCAGCTCTCTGCTGTGGCCCGGGAGTGCAGTAGAGGATGGCCCAAGTGCTTGGGCCCTGCACCCCATGGGAGACCAGGAAGAAGCACTTGGCTCCTGGCTTCAGATCGGCGCAGCACCGGCTGTGGCGGCCATTTGGGGGAGTGAACCAATGGAAGGAAGACCTTTCTCTCTGCCTCTCTCTCTCACTGTCTATAACTCTACCTGTCAAAAAAAAAAAAAAAATAGGATAGGAACCAGGCTTCAGAAGACTTAAATGCTTGGCATCTAAGTTGGACTTGGAAAAGGACAAAGGGTGATGATCCAGGTCACCTGGTAAACATTGGAAGCCTCTCGGTTTGGATTTCTTGTCTGCTCTCTGTCTCCAGCAAAGGAAAAGCAAAAGATCACAATCAGGCAGGTGTTCGAAAGCCACAGACATCAGCCATTCCACCTGAGAGGCACCAAGGTGCTGAAAATGAACAGAGTTCCTTGGGGGCAGGGACTCATTATATTTCTAATCACAGACTGTGGGGAACATAGTGTCCAAACTGCTTCGTCAGCTGCCCCAATATTCCTCAGGTCAAGTAAAGAGCCTTAATCTAGAATCTCCATGCCTCTATCACATCATCTCTGCCCTCCACTAGCTACCAGACTAATAGGAGAAGATGGGGACACTCTGCACCTCCACCCTAAGCCTAGGAAATATAACTTCAGATGTTCTGCTGCCCAGAAGGACACATGGAGTTCAATACTAAGCTCCAACTGCCAACAGCACCTAGAAATAGGCTGTGCCAAAAGCACACTTACCCTGAAAAATCCCACTCTTCTTATGGGAGTCATACCAAAAAGCTCGCGACCCCCTCAAACAGGACGACAAGCTGACACCCAACAAGCACACCACTTCTCATGTGATCTAGAGATGTTTAATGATTTCACCATGCCCCCAAGAGACGCAGAGATGAGGACAACCAGTGTACAAAAAATGCTCATGGCGCTCTCCAAAAAGCGTTGATTTATTTGTGCCTGTTATCACTTAACCAACATCGAACTCACAACTCACAGCTGCAGCCTTACCCTCAGCAGTGCACTGCCGCCGCCTGGCCCCTCCCTGCAGTCTTCTCTCCTGGAGGGAGAGACCCCAGAATAGAGAGGCTGCCACTCAGGAGAGTTTCAGTCCCAACCAAGGAAAAGGACCGGCCCCCACACTGTACTTGTCACCTCCATGACAGAAGGCTCACACCCTCGGATCATCCTTTGAAAATTCATATGCATGTGCCTGCCAGGAAATAAACCCTTGCAAAAGAGTTCCCGTCTGACAAAGGTACTTAAATCCCTTCTGTTGATTCCTGTTTCACAATAGACCCCTCACGGAAGAAGCAGGAGTTGCTCTAAAGGGCAGCTCGTACAGCATCGCTCATAAACTTCTCAATACAAACGACACTCGGTTCACAGCAAGTGTCATGTGACTGTGTTTCTCCCTGTCTTCCCCGAACATGAGTGTATACAGAGGCGCGTGCGCATACACACACACTCTCCCCCTCTCCCTCTCTCTCTCAGTAAAGCCAACAGCAGGGCATGTCTGCTGAAGATCTGAGCACTTCAGCATGAAAATCCAAGTGTTTCATGCCAGGCCAATCCTGCTATGACATCCAAAACCTGCCCACCAACGAAACAGCACCCAGGAAAGTAGCCAGGAAAGGGAAACGCCTCCTTCAAACAGCCTGAGAAAGGCAATCCTGATTGAGCCCGTGCTGAAACTATTCCCAAACACCAGCCAGGAAGTCCGTTCTTTCTGAGCACTCCCGCTACCCAGCAAACCCACCGAGATCTGCCTTTACGGAGGGCACAGCTCCGGAGACTCCAGCCCTGGAAACAGTGTTTTTAGAGAGGGGGTTCCCAGCTCTGACTCTGCCGCTTTTAGGGAACCATCAGTTGGGCCAGAACTTCCAACCTGACCTCGCCAATGCAAACACAAAAGCTAGTGATTACACCGCAATCACACACTTACACACACACCCCACTAATACACACATACCTTTCACCCTCCATTGTGCGAGGCCCAGCAGGGGTGGCAGCCGACGGACTATGCCTGTACGAGGAATCCCGGCTCTGTTCCTGGTTCTCCCGGGAGACCAGCGGGAGATCTGATCAGCAACAGTGATTCAGCATGGCTGCAAATGAAGCCTCCTCCCTCTCGATCCTCCTTCCTCTGACTTACTCACGGCAGCTTCTACCGCAGAAGCAGAGGCAGAAAATGTCTTACCCAGCGCTCCCTGCAGCCCTTTCAGCTGCTAAAAGCAGCAGCCCACTTGCTCCCCCTCCCCCGCAGGCTTGCTTCTCCCCGGTCTCCTAGAAACAAGGGCAGCTCCGGCGACCCAAGTGCAGCGCCACCTTTCCAGCTGCCTCCGCATCTGCCCTGGCATCCCCAGCCGCTGCGAGCAGCCGCCCCAAGGGCTCCTGCCTTCTCTGCCTAGGCTGCAAGGCTCAGCCAGAGAAACACGGCCCCCTCCCCTCCTCCACCCGCCGTAGGCTGGCTGGCTGCCTGGCAGGATTGCTGGAATGAGGAGGCCCCTCTGTGGCCTGCAGTGGAGTTTATCCACCTGGGGAAATTCACTTGTGGGTCGCAGCTCATGTTCCAATTCCTCCTCCCAGAATCCACAGTAGCTCTGAGAGTCCCATAGCGGGAGAGAAGTTAGGAGGAAAGAGCCAGATAACACTAAGAAGAATGTGGAGAGAATTTTTAAAAATAGAATAATTAGAAAAAACTGAAACAGGTGAAATGGAAACAAACCCTATTTACTGCAGGAGGCCAGAGTCTATCAGGACAAGGCAATCACAATGAATAATCTACACACTGATGCCCCCAGGACACACTGAAAAATCCCCACCTTCAGAGCACAGCCCTATACAGCCTCCTGAAGTCTGTCCTATGGAAATCTGGCTTAAGCTGTGGCCACAACTGCTAAGTCTCCCACTGAGCCCCTCTTCACAACAAAAATTTCCCATTCTCTATAGTGTCAAACAGCTTCAAGTTAGGCTAACTTTTCTCTCCTTGCCTGGAATGCCTTCTCGGATCCCAGTCCTAGAGCCTTTCTGCAAGGTCAAACTCAAGGTCTTCATAAAACCTTCCCTTCACAATCATCTCCAAAAGTGCTACAGAATGTATTGTACTTACTGTTCACCTCACACCTAATACATGGCTTGGTGTAATTCGGTATCTGTGTATCCTATCTCTCAAACGAAAACACAGTCTTGTGGAAGGCACAGAGCCAGTATGTGTCTTCTAGCCACAGCCAAGAGGCGTAAGTGTAATGGGGCCATCAGTTACCAAATGGTTTAGAGAGAAGACACTGGGGCACAGCAGGTTAAAGCCTTGTGTTGGAGCACCTGTGTCCCGTATCAGGACCGGTTAGAGTCTCCGCTAAAGCACCTGGAAAGAAGTGAAAGATGGATCTCAGTACCTGAGTTCTTGCCACCTACCTGGGTAGACACTGGTGGAATTCCTGGTTACTGGCTTTGCCCTGGCCCAGCTATGGCTGTTGTGGGCATTTGGAGAGTGAACCGACAGATGGAAGATATCTTTATCTCTCTCTTTCTGCTTTTCAAATAAATAAATCTTAATTTAAAAAAGTACCTGGTTGAGCAGCTTTCTCTCATGCCTCAGCAAAGTCAGACCTGAGCATCTGGATTCTGGCACCCCCAGTGTTCCCGCTGGGCTTCTCGGGAGCACCCTGCACTCACTGCCCGAGTGGCCTTCAGCTAGCTAGTCTCTTCCCACTGGGCTTCAGGCTCTGTCCCTCGTTCACAAGACGGAGCAGACCATAAAATCTCCAGAGTCCCTTTCAGCTCTAAAACCATGACTCCAACAATGTTCTAAAGGTTCGATTTTTCTTCTCAGAGTCACCTGCGTGATTGCTTAGTAAAAAGAGAGCTTTGGAGTCAGCGCAGTGGCACAACAGGTTGAGCCGCAACCTGCAGTGCCTGAACCCTATCTTGGTGCCAGTTCAAATCCTGGCTGCTCCATTCCCGACCCAGCTCCTGCTAATGTGCCTGGGAAAGCAGCAGAGGATGACACAAGTGCTTGGGCTCCTATACCCACATGAAAGGCACCAAAGAAGCTCCTGGGCCAGGCCCATCCATGGTGGCCACGTGGGGAGTGACACGTGGGGAGTGGAAGGAAGATCTCTCTCTCTCTGCCTTTCAAATAAATAAAATCTTTAAAAAAGAAAAGAAAAAGGGAGCTTCAGGGAGGAGCAGCAGGATGTATATCAAAGTACAAAAGATGCTCAGTAAATCATTATCGCCCTTCTAATTTCACGTGTGAAGTTTCTGCACTGCTACAAAGCACCCATTCAAGTAAGGGAGGAACACTGAGATGAAAGAAACTACCAGTAACTTAAACGTCATGTGTCCTCCTGAACTCAGCCTGAGTGGGGTACTATTCTCACGGTATCCTCTTAGATGAGGCCATTACCCAAATTCACTCTTTCTCCAGGGAGAAGATGTCTGGGTAACTTAACACCCTACAGCTTTGTGTCTTTACGTCTTCCTCTCACAACAATACACCTCCTATCTTTCTCTCTTTGTGTCCCTTCCTCTTCTAATCAGCCTGTGGCTCTGCTCCAGATACTTCCTCTTGAGGCCAATCACCAGGACCACAAGGAGCTAAATGTGACAAATACAGAAGCTGAATCCCAGAATCCCTGCCGGGGTGATTCATAAAAGGGATGTGAGAATGAAGTGATGACTCTTTGGGTATATACCCTTACTCATATCCTCACCACACAGGAAAGGGGAGACGTGCCACACGTAACAAACCAGAGAGAAAGAAAAAATGTCAGGGAAGGAAATACTTAAGAGCTGAACCTACTCGGGTTTGGAAATACAACTACTAGGGGGCCGGCACTGCGGCGTAGTAACGCAGCCTGAGGTGCTGGCATCCCATATGGACGCCGGTTCGAGACCTGGCTGCTCCACTTCCCATCCAGCTCTCTGCTATGGCCTGGGAAAGCAGTGGAAGATGGCCCAAGTCCTTGGGCCCCTGTGCCTATGTGGGGGACCTGGAGGAGGCTCCTGGCTCCTGATCAATGCAATTCCGGCTGTTGCGGCCAATTAGGGAATGAACCATCGGATGGAAGACACCTCTCTCTCTCTCTCTCTCTGTTCTTTTTCAAATGAATAAATAAATCTTTAAAAACAATACAACTATTAATAGTGGCATGAAAATCCTATAGACTCTCCTCTGCAACCTCCTTTCACTGTGCTAACCAACGTCACAACAGTCTATGTGCAGACACTGTACTGCTACCACCTGTACTCTTCACTCACCACTCACTGGCCAGGAGAAACAGGCAGAATAGAGATACCTCAGAGAATGTCATCTAGAAAAGATCATGCAACTGAGCCAAGGATCAAAATCTCCAGACCCCTGCAGAGAAGTCCCTACTCCAACCTTGCCCTGTTTCAGAGCTGCATTTTACATTTTCTACCTGTTTTCTGGGCCACTGCCTGTACTTCTAGATGTAGACTAGAGGCAGAGGAACTAAGGTGGTGTCTTCCAGGAGGAAAATGTCTCACTCCCAACTGCCAAGCAACAATGTCTTAATTCCACTCCTAACCCCACCCAGCCCCCTCCTCATATCCCAGCTTCCTCCACAGCTCCAAGCACCGACCTCCACTCCAAGGCAATTTATCCAGCCATTCGTTCCAACTTTATTTAGGGTTTATTAGCTTTTGCATAGCTTAGGAAGAAAATACATTAGGAGACATTTTGTTTCTTCAACCTGGGTTTGGTTTTCAAAGTTCTTTCTTCCATATTCCATCTCTGCAGAGAGAGCGGGAGAGCACGGTTTATCTGGTAACAGCAGTTCTCCCTTGTAAGCGCCCTTTTTCTTCTTTTCTTGATTTTACCCTCCAGGACTTTGATTCCTCACATTTGCAAGCACCATATCACAGTACAGAAGTCCTAAACCTAGCTGTATGTCAAACCCATCTGCCATGTTGGTTAAAATAGTAGGTCCTATCCACCAAAGAGCACAGGAAAATTTTTTAGCACTTTGATATGTTCCATGTCTTTTCTATTTTTTCCTCTTTATTATAACATTTATTTTATTTATTTGAAAGAGTTAGAGAGGAAAAGAAACAGAGAGAGAGAGAGATCTTCCTCCACTGACTCTCTCCCCAAATGGCTACAACCGCCAGGGCTGGGCCAGACCAAAGCCTAGAACCAGGAGCTTCTTCTGGGTCTCTCTGGGGGTTGCAGGGGCCCAAAGACTTGAGCCATCTTCTGCTGCTTTCCCAGGCACACTGGCAGGGAGTTGGTTCAGAAGAGCAGCTAGAACTCGAACTGGCACCCATATGGGATGCTGGCATCGCAGGCGGCAGCTTTACCTGCTACACCACAATGCCGGCCCCATGCTTCATGCCTTGACTGTGATGATACAAGACCATATCACTGGGGCTGGGGCTGTGCTGTAGTGGGTAAAGCCGCCGACTACAGTGCCAGCATCCCATATGAGTGCCAGTTCAAGTTCTGGCTGCTCCACTTCCAATCTAGCTCTCTGCTATGGCCTGAGAAAGTAGTAGAAGATGCCCCAAGTCCTTGGGCCCCTACACCTGCATGGGAAGACCTGGAGGAAGCTCCTGGCTCCTGGCTTCGGATAGGTCCAGCTCAGGCCACTGCGGGCATTTGGGGAGTGAACCAGCAGATGAAGACCCCTCTCTTTTTTTCTGCCTCTCTGTAACTCTGCCTTTCAAATAAATAAATAAATCTTTTTTAAAAAAAAAGGCTACATCACTAATAAATTTCATGAAATTAAACACATGAAGTGGTCAAATTTTTTTTTCTTTTTTTTTTTGACAAGCAGAGTTAGACAGTGAGAGAGAAAGAGACAGAGAGAAAGGTTTTCCTTCCATTGGTTCACTCCCCAAATGGCCACTACAGCTGGCATGCTGCACCGATCCAAAGCCAGGAACCAGGTGCTTCCTCCTGGTCTCCCATGCAGGTGCAGGGCCCAAGCACTTAGACCATCCTCCACTGCCTTCCTGGGCCACAGCAGAGAGCTGGACTGGAAGAGGAGCAACAGGGACAGAACCGGCACCCCAACCGGGACTAGAACCCGGGGTGCCGGTGCCTCAGGAAGAGGATTAGCCAGGTAAGCCGCGGCACCGGCCCAAATTTTACATAAATTATGCCTCAATAAATCTGGAAAATTAAAACACTAATGAGGCACTACCTCAGAACTATAGTATCAGAGTTCAAGGAGCTGGAATTTTTTTAAAAGATTTATTTATTTATTTATTTGAAAAGAAGAGTTACAGAGAAAGAGAGCAAGATATAAAGAGATCTTCCATCCAGTGGGTTTACTCCCCAAGTGACTGCAATAGCCAGGGCTGGGCCAGGCTGAAACCAGGATCCAGCAGCTTCTTCCAGGCCTCCCAAGTGGGTGCATGGGCCCAAGGACTTGGGACATCTGCTACTTTCCCAAGCACATTATCAGGGACCTGGACTGGAGGTGGAACAGCTGGGACTAGAATCAGCAACCATATGGAAAGTTGCCATCATAGGCTTCGCCACAATGCCAGAACCAGGAGTTGGAATTTTAGCAGACCTCACAGGTGACTCTAAAGCATAGCTGGATGGAAAGATGACTTAGAACAATTATAAGGGCCCAGCCCATAAGAATCAGACAGAGCAGAGTCCAAATACACTTTCCAAAAACTTGCCCATTGGCAAGTTTCTTTACAAGGCTCAACTTTCTCATCTGTACAAAAGAGTAACAACAGTGCCTACCTGCTAGGGTTGTTAAGTTTGAAAGTGCAAATGTATCAGGGCTAGTGTTGTGGCACAGTGGGTTAAAGCCCTGATCTGCAGTGTCAGCATCCCATATGGGCACTGGTTTGAGTCCTGGCTGCTCCACTTCTGATCCAGCTCCCTGCTAATGCGCCTGGGAAAGCAGTGGAAGATGGCCCAAGTTCTTGAGCCCCTGCATCCATGTGGGAAATCTGGATGAAGCTCCTGGCTTCTGGCTTTGGATCAGCTTGGCTCTGGCCATTGCAGCCATTTGGGGAGTGTATCTCTCTCTCTCTCTCTGGGTTGTTTCTACCTCTCTCTGCAACTCTTTCAAATAAATTAAATAAATCTTAAAAAAAAAAGAGAGAAAATATGTAAAGCACCTTGCAGAGAGACTGGCCTGTAACAAGCACCAGCAACCACTGACAGCCATTATTTTCACTGTCTATGTCAGTGTTACCAAACTACACCTCTCTAAACCCTTGGTCCTAGGATCAAGCAGGACACGGCAGGGCCTCCCGAGAGCCATTTTCACATCTCCAGTGGTCACTGTTACTACTAGGTCAGCAAGAACTAGACGAGATCAGAGCTACTTAAGGCCCACACATACCCATATCATCAAAACTTCCCCTTAGCTTTGGACCACGAGCTAAGCAGACACTCCCTGTAACTGCCTAGAGGGAACCCAGAAAGTCAAGCAAAAACCAGTAAGGAATGTGAGGCCCAAAACAGTCCAAAGGGAAACAGAACAGCATCTTATCCAGAGGAAAGGTGGGCTGCTCCCAGGACTCCTTCTCTGAAGACACAAGAATCCAAGGCCAGAGTAGACTCGAGATGGCCACTGCCCAGGGCACGTGCGCTCTTTAAAAACTACAAAGCACTCTGAGTCCATTGTCTCCTTTCATTCAGCAGAGCACCCCATACCCCTTGAACAGTGAGCTGAGTACTCTGTGCCAGACCCTGGACCTCACACTTCACCTGGGCCACTCCCATTTAATCCTCACAGCCCTGTAAGAAGGGACCATTGACCCTATTTTAAAAATGAGGGGGGCCGGCGCCGCGGCTCACTAGGCTAATCCTCCGCCTTGCGGCGCCGGCACACCGGGTTCTAGTCCCGGTCGGGGCGCCGGATTCTGTCCCGGTTGCCCCTCTTCCAGGCCAGCTCTCTGCTGTGGCCCAGGAGTGCAGTGGAGGATGGCCCAGGTGCTTGGGCCCTGCACCCCATGGGAGACCAGGAAAAGCACCTGGCTCCTGGCTCCTGCCATCGGATCAGCGTGGTGCGCCGGCCGCAGCACGCCAGCCGCGGCGGCCATTGGAGGGTGAACCAACGGCAAAAGGAAGACCTTTCTCTCTGTCTCTCTCTCTCACTGTCCACTCTGCCTGTCAAAAAAAAAATAAATAAATAAAAATTTAAAAAAAAAAATGAGGGGGGCCAGAGCTGTGGCACACCATGTTAAGCCTCCACCTGCGGAGCCAGCATCCCATATGGGCACCAGGTTCTAGTCCCGGTTGCTCCTCTTCTAGTCCAGCTTTCTGCTGTGGCCCGGGAGGGCAGTGGAGGATGGCCTAGGTACTTGGGCCCCTGCACCCACAAGGGAGACCAGGAAGAAGCACCTGGCTCCTGCCTTCAGATCGGCACAGCTCTGGCTGTTGCAGCCATTTGGGGAGTGAACCAATGGAAGGAAGACCTTTCTCTCTGTCTCTCTCTCACTGTCTGTGACTCTACCTGTCAAATAAAAAAAAAAAAAAAAGTGAGTTTACTAAGGTTCTGAGAATTAAACGACTGGACCAAGGTCCCATAGCTACTAAATGGCAAAGCTGGGATTTGAACCCAACAGAGCCCACTATTAGCTACTATCAAGACAAGCATTATCCCTATCTTATAACTTCAATTTCAGAGAGAAGCAAATTGAGCCAGAAAACAACTGGCTCTAGGCCACCTAGGGGGCCAAGCTGGGTGTGGATCCACATCCTGCGATGCCTGGCCTGATGACCTTTCCACCCAGCCTCTGGATAAGAACAGTAGTGTTTGAAAACCTTAAGGATACTACATGAAAATAAGGTGGCAGCCAAGGCTTCCAAACACCTACTATAATGAAGTCCTTCCACCCGGACTCCTCACGTTGCCGAGCTTACTTAAAGCCAAGCCTAGCCGAAGACTGCTCTTCGGGAAAGTCACAGGAGCACCTCTGTGCCACAAGGGAGTGGAAGGAAAGCCAGAATAACTACAGCAGCAAGCAGGGTGCTTCACACTGACCAGTACCTTGGAAACACTACTACTTAGGGTCTAGGGAGTCTTTCCTCTCTCCTATCAACCCACAGCTGGTGCCCTCTGCTGGTAAACACATAGACAAAAAATTATTATGCCACTGGCTTAGAAAGACAGGAAAAAAATACTACCTTCCCATTCTATTCAAGAATGAACATTAATTCTTAGGATTTTCGATAGATTCATGAAATTTTAAATTGACTGTTGCCCTCTTTTCTGTCTGCTGCTCCTGCCTCACCTGGCCGGCTCATTCCTTTCTGGGTAAAAGAAAACTGGGATGTTGTACTCAAAAAGGTAAAATACATATGATAACAGCCCAACATCAATACAGTGAGGCCATACATCTAGCAGGTACACATAATTGAAGCACACATTTAAAGTAATGTAAAACCCATGTGCAAGCATGCTCAACCATTCTGATCATTCTCTTCCACTCAATCGCATGTTTATTATTAACTCAACTAAGTCTCATTGAATACTCTATACAGTGCACTATGCCAGGAAGCTACAATACAAATGCTCCAGGAATAGAATGCTAAATAACCTAAAAATTGACTAAGAAGATTATACAGATACACACTGAGGAGATGCAGAAAATGTACTGTGGGGACTCAATGGAGGAAAAGACCACTTCCAGTTTGAGGAGGAAGGGAGGATAACAGAAGGAACAGAAAGCTCAGAAGTTAAAGAACTCTGTTTCATTTTCAAAAGAGTATTTTTTTTTTTGACAGGCAGACTGGACAGTGAGAGAGATACAGAAAGAAAGGTCTTCCTTTTCCGTTGGTTCACCCCCAACGACCGCTGCGGCCAGCGCGCCGCGGCCAGTGCACCACGCTGATCCGAAGCCAGGAGCCAGGTGCTTCTCCTGGTCTCCCATGAGGGTGCAGGGCCCAAGCACTTGGGCCATCCTCCACTGCACTCCGGGGCCACAGCAGAGAGCTGGACTGGAAGAGGAGCAACCGGGACAGAATCTGGTGCCCCGACCGTGACTAGAACCCAGTGTGCTGGCGCCGCAGGCAGAGGATTAGCTATTGAGCCTCAGCGCCGGCCTTCAAAAGGGTATTCTTAATGGCAAACATTTTAAACTAGGTAACTTTAATTTCCCATTTAAAATTTATTCAATTTAAAATATGCAATTTTTTAATTCCACTACTTTAATATGAGTCTTTTAAAACTTCATTAAGATCTGTATTATAAAAAAACCATGCCTGGGTTTCAAAAATTTTCACAGCAAAATACATTTCCTCATTCTATTTCCATGAACTTTTTGAAGATCCCACATATTTGCAATTTATTAAATTAAATGATCTATTATGTATTTTTATTAAAATTTATATTATGAAATGTACATAAAATTTGCCATTTTATCCATCTCTAAACTTTTTTTTTTTTTGACAGGCAGAGTTAGTGAGAGAGAGACAGAAAGAAAGGTCTTCCTTCCGTTGGTTCACCCCCGAAATGGCCGCCACGGCCAGCACGCTGCACTGATCCAAAGCCAGGAGCCAGGTGCTTCCTCCTGGTCTCCCACGTGAGTGCAGGGCCCAAGCACTTGGGCCATCCTCCACTGCCTTCCCAGTCCATAGCCGAGAGCTGGACTGGAAGAGGAGCAACCGGAAGGGAATTCGGCGCCTCAGTGCTGCAGGTGGAGGATTAGCCTAGTGAGCCACAGTGACGGCCACATTTTATCAATCTCTAAGCATAGGATTCAGTGGTACTAAGTAGTCACAATGTTGTACAATTACTGCCACTATTCATTTCCAGAACTTTTTCATTATCCAAAAGAATCCTTGGACCACTTAAACAGTAGCCCCTCATGCTTTCTCCCAACCTCAGCCTCACTAACTCTTACTCTCTATCTCTGAATTTGCCTACTTAGGTACCTCACAGTTAACAATGAATGCAGTAATACAGTATCATTTTGTGTCTGGCTTCTTTTGCTTCCTACAAGGTTTATTCACCCATCAGAATTTCATTCTCATGTTGGATAATATTCCACTGATTGTACATGCTATATTTTGTTTATCCACTCACCTGTTGATACAACACTGGGTTAATGTCACCTTTTGAGATTGCACCATTAGTTAATTTTTCCCTAATGGTTGACATATAGATGGTTCCCTATTTTTTGTTAGCCTGTTATAATGATCATCTTTATGTAAACACTGTTCTCCTTTCATTGAACTGTTTTCTTAGGTTAAATCCCTAGTAATGCAGTCCCGAAGTCAAAGGATATGAACATTTTAACGGTGAGTAATAAACAAATCCACACTTTAATCTCCTCATTCTCCATTTTCCCCAGCCTGATGGAGAAGTTATTATCAGCAAATTCAGTTACAGAAGTATGGCTGCAGCCAGCTAGGGGGAAACTTAAGAGAAATGTAAAGAATTAACAAAGCAGAAACAGCTCAGAGAACCGCTCCACCGCAGAGCTGACGCCATGGGCTGCCCGATACTGCAGCTTCCGAGGAGGACACTGCAGGGCAGCAGGTTAAGCCGCTGTTTGGCACACCTGCATCCCGTAGCAGAGTGCCAGCTCAAGTCTCAGCTCCTCTGCTTCTGACCCAGCTTCCTGCTAATAATGCAACTGGGGAGGCAGTGGATGATGGTTCAGGTACTTGGATCCCTGCCACCCACCATGGGAGACCAGGATGGAATTCCTGGCTTTGGCTTAGCTTATCCCTAACCGTTGTGGACATTTGGGGAGTGAACCAAGACCTATCTCTCTCATTCATTCTCTGTGTGTGTGCGTGTGTGTCACTCTGCCCTTCTGCCAAATAAGTAAATCTTAAAAAAAAAAAAAAAAGCTGCACCTTCTACCCATAATCTGATGTTTTCCTATTAACTTGATTACAGGGGTTTTTTATTTTTTATTTATATATATATATATATATTTTTTTTTTTTTGACAGGCAGAGTGGACAGTGAGAGAGAGAGACAGAGAGAAAGGTCTTCCTTTGCCGTTGGTTCACCCTCCAATGGCCGCCGCGGCCGGCGCGCTGCGGCCGGCGCACCGCGCTGATCCGATGGCAGGAGCCAGGAGCCAGGTGCTTTTCCTGGTCTCCCATGGGGTGCAGGGCCCAAGCACTTGGGCCATCCTCCACTGCACTCCCTGGCCACAGCAGAGAGCTGGCCTGGAAGAGGGGCAACCGGGACAGAATCCGGCGCCCCAACCGGGACTAGAACCCGGTGTGCCGGCGCTGCTAGGTGGAGGATTAGCCTAGTGAGCCGCGGCACCGGTGATTACAGTTTTTTAAAAAGTGCCACATTAAGGATCTTCAAGATCAATTCCATGTTTACAGATTGCTACACAGGCTCTCAGAACTCAGCACAATTAAGCACTGTACTCACTGCTAAAGTTCAATCCAGTGACAATGAGAGCACACAAGGTCACATCAGATAGGAAAAAGACCTGGACAGGTTCAAGAGGAATCCATGTGTAGATGTTATGATGCTTCCCTCTGCTATGCTTTGAACAAGATTTGGCTGCCAAACTCATGCAGATGTTTAAACTTTAAAGTCAAAAGGTAATGGTACTGAGAGGGTGAAAACATAATCCAGTTACGTTATTTAGGAGCTGGACCTAGTAGGAGGTCTTATAGCTTGGGAGGGGGGAGGGGGAAGCATGCTCTTGGAAGGTGATTCTAGTTCTCACAAGGGAGGTGGCAAAGGCTGACTGGGGCCCAGCCTCTCTCTGCTTCCTGGCTTCCTCTGCAAGTGCTCTGCCACCCTCTGCCTTCATCAGAGACCCTACCAAAGGGGCCACTGTGGAGACCCAGAACCATGAGCCAAACCAAACTTCTTTCCTTCACAAGTTACTTATCTGTGGTATTTTGTTGTAGTAACAAAATGCTAACAGAGGCTGCACTGAGTAGTCGGAGCACACACTCGTATGTGTGATGTTCTGCTCAGGGACTCAGCCTCCAGGGTTTTTACTGGAAGGAAGCCCCACAGGAACCCTCTGCCTGGCATGCATCGAAACTCCGGATTCTGGAGCCAATGCTGGGGCGCAGTGTAAGCTGCTACCTGCAGCTCCAGCAACCCATTTCGGTACCAGTTCAAGTCCTGGCCACTCTGCTTCCAATCCAGCTCCCTGTTAATGAGCATAGGAAGCAACAGAAGATGGATCAAGTGCTTTGGCCTCTGCACCCATGTGGGAGACCCGGATGAAGTTCCTGGCTGGAGGCTTCAGCCTGGCTATTGTGAGCATTTGGAGAGTGAACCAGCAGATATAAGGTATCTACCTCTCACTCCCACTCGCTCATTCACACTCTTCCTCTGTAATGCTGCCTTTCAAATAAATAATTAAAAAAAAAAAAACTCAATTCCCAGAAGGAAAGCAGGTGTTTCACATAAATCATATTGCTTGACAGTCTAGGCACAGTGAACCACACTTAACAGAGAGGGATCTGATCTGTGAAAATCCTCCCTAAATCCAACTGTCCATATGAAGGCCAACCTTGCAAGGCTGCTCAAAAAGACAGCAGCATCAGGACAGATGTTAACTTTTACTGCATACCAAGATTAAACATCCACTATGGCCAAAAAACATCATCTCTCACAAAAAATAACACACACACACACACACACACACCCCCATACACTGTGGTAGATTCAAGGAGATCTGAGGTTCTTTTAGTGCCTCAATCCAAGTCGTTCCAATTACTTTCCTCTTCCACTCTTACTGAAATGAGCTGTACCAAAGGAACAGGATATTTAAGACAAAGTCAGAGAGAATCTTTTAAAATTCCAATCAGATCATGACACTCCTAGCTCAAAACCCTGAAATGGCCAACCAAAATCTTTCAACATCCTACAACCCTTACATGATCGGGGCCCTCTCTGGTCTCATCTGCGACTTCTTTACCCCTCCCCCCTCAGTACCAGCTGCGCTCACCAATGTGCTTTTTCCTCAAACAGGCCAGGCACAATCACCTCAGGCCATGGCCCTTCCTCGAATATCTGCTGCTTACTCCCCCAACGTTCAAGTCCTCACTCAGATGTCTCTCTCAGGGACCGCCCGCCCCATGCGACTGTTCTAAATCACTCTCTTCCCAAACATCCTGCTTTGCTACACTCCCCACTCCTCTAACTCTTCCCAAATGATTGACCATCTTTTAACACACCATATTATTTAATTTTTTAGAGATTTATTTACTTGAAAGGCATAGTTACAGAGAGAGAGAGAGAGAGAGAGAGAGAGAGAGAGAGAGAGAAAGGTCTTCCATCTGCTGTTTCACTTCCCAGGTGGCTGCAACAACTGGGGTTGAGTCAATCCAAAGCCAGGAGCTCCCTCTGGGTCTCCCATGCAGGTGCAGGGGCCCAAGCAGTTGGGCCATCTTCTACTGCTTTCCCAGGCCATCAGCAGGGAGCCAGATCACAAGAGGAACAGCTGGGACTTGAACAGGCAGATGCTTAACCTACTAAGCCACAATGCCAGCCCAGTCACAGTGCCCGGGCCACAGCAGACAGCTAGACTGGAAGAGAGGCAACCAGGACAGAATCCGGCACCCCGACCGGGACTAAAACCCGGGGTGCCAGCACCACAGGCAGAGGATTAGCCTAGTGAGCTGTGGTGCCGGCACTCTCACAACTCTCTTATAAATTAATATAAATTAACTACTGGTTACCAGGAAGCCAAAGAACTTCAGTGGAAAGAGGATGAACACTGAAAATCAATCAGGCTTGGAGTCAGTTCTCAGCTCTATCATGACAGTTACTTTTCTGAAATGAGTTCAGCTACCCTATTTGTGAAACACAGGGTTATCAAATGGATCCCACAAGAATATACATAAATGTACCGAGAACAGTGTTAAGCACACAGCAGGCATGCTTCTCTGTATATCCTCCGTATCTCTTAGTTATCTTCTACCCTAAATGCCTTCTTTTGTCTTCTCACCCTCCCTGAGACAATTTTTTTAAGGTTAAGGTTACATACTTCAAAATGATTTTCTTTTTAAATGTTTATTTTTTATTTATTTGAAAGGCAGAGTTACACAGGAGAGGCAGAATATTCCATCCACTGATTTGCTCCCCAAATGGCCACAATGGCCAGAACTGGGCTGATCTGAAGCCATGAGCCAAAAACTTCTGGGTCTCCCACGCGGGTAGAGAGGCCCAAGCACTTAGGCCACCTTCTGCTGCTTTCCCAGGTGGATTAGCAGAGTGCAAGATCAGATGTGGAGCAGCTGGGTCTCAAACCAGCACCCATATGGGATGCCAGCATTGCAAGCAGAGGCTTAACCTGCTACACCACAGCACCCACTCCCAACACAATGCTTTTCTTCATCCTTCTACCTGGAAGTCACCTCTCAACATGCACATTTTATTTATACATTCCTTATAGTAACACAGTTAAAATTTACAGATAATTAACATGATTCACATTCCTCCACAAGTTATGAAGTAACAGAGTTTTAGGGGGCTCCTACATGCAAGCTCACCTAGCAAGTAAAGGACACAGCCTAGTTAAACAAACAAGTCTCAGTTACCAAGAGTACTCTTTGGAATATATATATTTATCATAGTCTTCAATATACTCACTCATCTCATTAACTGTGCAAATATCATGTGGATACGGTGTGGGTAAAATAAAGGTACATCTTTTGGTAACCAGTCACACTTCTTCACAGTGGGCTATGACAATGACATGAAAGACTGTAGTCTCAACAACCCTACTAGGCAGTATTACCAACTGTCTCTCCCTTTTCAAATAAAAGGCTCAGACCAGTTTGTCCAAGGTCAGAGTTGAAAAGTGGTCAGGAACACTATCTTATGTGATGCCATCATGTATGTCCTTAAGGACTGTGAACTGTTAAATCAAATACTCAGAGAAAAATCACAGTTGCCATTTGAATGATGTGAACAACATGAGACAGTGCCACAACACTGAAAAGGAAAGACTGCATCCTTTCAAAAGAACCTGAATTCCAACAACACAAGTTTTTTTTTTTTTTTTTAAGATTTATTCTATTTATTTGAAAGACAAAGTTACAGAGAGAGGTAGAGGCAGAGAGAGAGGTCTTCCATCTGCTGATTCACTCCCCAGATGGCCGCAACGATCAGAGCCGCACCAATCTGAAGCCAGAAGCAAGGAGCTTCTTCTGGGTCTCCCACATAGGTGCGGGACCCCAGGACTTGGGTCATCTTCTACTGCTTTCCCAGGCCATAGCAGAGAGCTGGATCAGAAGTGGGGCACCCAGGTCTCAAACCGGTGCCCATATGGGATGCCAGTGCTTCAGGCCAGGGTGTCAACCCATTGCGCCACAGTGCCGGCCCCGAGAACACAAGTTATTTGAAGACAGCAATGGTTTTTTTATGCAGAGTTAGACTGAGAAAGAGAGAGAAAGGTCTTCCTTCCGTTGGTTCACCACCAAAATGGCCACTACGGCCGGCGCACTGCGCCCATCTGAAGCCAGGAGCCAGGTGCTTCCTCCTGGTCGCCCATGCGGGTGCAGGGCCCAAGCACCTGGGCCATCCTCCACTGCACTCCCGGGCCACAGCAGAGAGCTGGACTGGAAGAGGGGCAACTGGGACAGAATCCGGCGCCCCGACCGGGACTAGAACCTGGTGTGCCAGCGCCACAGGCGGAGGATTAGCCTAGTGAGCCGCGGCGCCGGCCAGTAATGGTGTTTTTATCACTGCTATCCATCTCCAGATCTTAGAAGTACTTATGCATAACTCAATTCTAATGAAACTGATAGTAAACAGTGTGAAATAAACATACAGTTTAAATAATACGTTCACACTACAAAATTTTAAAGCAGGAAATGACATGAATACATTACAGGCAGAATTTTTTTTTCTAAGTAAGCCATACAAAGTGGGAAAAGAAATCAGAGGAGTCCAACCTGGCTGGAGCACACAGTTCGGAAGTGCTATGGGGCCAACACTGGGGCACAGCAGGTTTAGCAACACCTACAACACCAGCATCCCATATCACATCAGTTTGAGTCCTGGCTGGTCTACTTTCAACCCTGCTCTCTGCTCATGTGCCTGAGAAAGCAGCAGAAGATGGCGAAAATATCTGGGTCTTTGCAACCTCCATGGGAGACCTGGAAGGAGTTCCAGGTTCCTGGCAGTGGCTTGGCTCAGACCTTGCCATTATAGTCATTTGGGGAATGAGCCAGTAGATGAACAATTTCTTTGTCAATCTTTCAAATAAATAAATCTTAAAAAAAAATGCTAGCAAAAACATTTTCCCAAATCCCTTCCTTCTCTAGATTCAAATAATCTAGCCTCAAATCAAGTTCTAAAAAGGTGAAAAAAGTTAAGTACAATAGAGTCTCAATTGCCCTTTCTAGTCTGTGTAGTTTGGATTTTGTTCTTTAACAATTATTTGATTTGAAAGGCAGAGACAGAGACAGACAGCTCTCCCATTTGCTGGTCCACTGCCCAAACATCCACAAGCCAGGAAATGGGAACTCAATCTAGGTCTCCCACATGGGAGACAATGGTCCAACTACTTGAACCCAATGCCTTCTAGAGTGCACATTAGCAGGAAAGTGGAGCAGAGCCAAGACTCCAAACTCCAGCATCCTGTTACAGAATGCAGGCATCCCAACTGGTGTCTTAGCACTATGACAAACTCCGACCACTGCAATTCCTGTTTATTTTTTAAAGACTTATTTAGGAGCCTCTACTTGCAGTACCAGCATCCCATACGGATGCCGGTTTTAGTCCTGGCTGCTTCTCTTCCAACCCAGCACTCTGCTATGGCCTGGGAAAGCACTGGAAGGCAGCACAAGTGACTGGGCCCCTGCAGCCAAGTGGGAGACCAAGAAGCTCCTGGCTTCGGATCGGTCCAGCTCCAGCTGTTGTGGCCAAGGACTTGGGCCATCTTCTACTGCTTTTCCAGGCCATAGCAGAGAGCTGGATTGGAAATGGAGCAGCTGGGTCTCGAACCGGCGCCCATATGCAATGCCGGTGCTTCAGGCCAGGGCGTTAACCCACTGCACCACAGTGCTGGCCCCAAATGTTTTATTTTTTTAAATGAGATTTTATTTACTCAAATGGCAGAATGAGAGACACACAGAAATCTTTCATCTGCATCTGCTGGCTCACTCCCCAAATGCCTGCAACAGATGGGACTGCGCCAGGCTGAAAGCAGGAACCTGGAACCCCATTCAGATTTCCCACACAAGCAGCAGGAACCCAAGTACCTGGATCATGGGCGGCTGCCTGCCCAGGCCCGTTAGCAGGAAGCTGGGCTGCAAGCAGAGGAGAGACTCAATCCAGCACTCATACGGGATGAGAATGTCCCATACTGCGCCACAATGCCTGCTTGCTGACTTCTCTTTTGTTTTTCTCAAAACAAAGAAAAAAGAACTCCACTGGGTTTGTAGTTAGAGGAAAAATGATAACATTAACTTGGCTGGCTAAAGCTGGCATAATCCACTGCACCACAATGCTTTATCTTGTAGCATTTAAAGTTTCATTTAGGGAGAATATGAAATTCAATCAAAAGCAGTTTTTTTAATACAAAGTTTTTATTTAATAAATATAAATTTTATAGGTACAACTTTTGGATTATAGCTGTTCTTGCCCCCATACCCACCCTCCCACGCCCATTTCATCCCACTTCCTACTCCATCTCCCATCCCATTCTTCATTAAAATTCATTTTAATTATCTTTATATACATAAGATGAACTCTATACTAAGTAAAGATTTCAACAGTTTGCACCCACACAGACACACAAAGTATAAAGTATTCTTTGAAGACTAGTTTTACCGTTAATTTTCATAGTACAACTCATTAAGGACAGAGGTCCTACATGGGGAGTAAGTGCACAGTGACTCCTGTTGTCCATTTAACAACTGACACTCTTATTTATGACATCAGTGATCACCCAAGGCTCTTGTCATGAGCTGCCAAGGCTATGGAGGCCTGGAGTCCACAAACTCCAACATTATTTAGACAGGGCCATAATCAAAGTGGAAATTCTCTCCTCCCTTCAGAGAAAGGTACCTCCTTCTTTGATGGCTCCTTCTTTCCACCAGGATCTCACTCAGAGATCTTTCATGTATTCATTTTTTGCCAGTGTCTTGGCTTTCCATGCCTGAAATGCTCCAAATCCAGATCTAAATGCCTTAAGGGCTGATTCTGAGGCCAGAGTGCTGTTTAGGACATTTGTCTTTCTATGAATCTGCTGTATGGCCTGCAAATGCAGGTTCTAAAGTCAAAGGTTAATTTTCCCAAACTAGATCTGTGCCTCTTTACACGAGTAATAAATTCTATTTCCAAAGCAAAATACTTCCCACACACTATATTTAGCAACAGACTAAATTTAAGCAAGAACAACACCCACAGTGTACTAAGCCCAAATTCAGTGTGAGGCTAATAAATTCATGCTCACTTATGATTTTTCAAATTACCCCACTCCCTCAAAACTGTGCAACCGTCAATTTTAAAAAATGTAATTTACAGCATATCTTGAAATACCTAATTGCTATTTTTTTTTTTTTTTTTTACAGGCAGAGTGGACAGTGAGAGAGAGAAACAGAGAGAAAGGTCTTCCTTTACCATTGGTTCACCCCACAATGGCCACTGTGGCCGGCACACTGCGCTGATCTGAAGCCAGGAGCCAGGTGCTTCTTCTGGTCTCCCACACGGGTGCAGGGACCAAGGATCTGGGCCATCCTCCACTGCACTCCCGGGGCACGGCAGAGAGCTGGACTGGAAGAGGAGCAACCGGGACAGAATCTGGCGCCCCCACCAGAACTAGAACCCAGGGTGCTGGCGCCGCAGGCAGATTAGCCTATTGAGCCACAGCGCCGGCCGAAATACCTAATTATTATAACTGACTATTTAATTTAATAGTTTTCTTTTTCATTAGTAACTGTATTAATTGCTGGAAGTTAGTTTCTAATAAAATATTTTAAAATCAGTTATTAGGTCAAAACATAGAAAAGGAGATCAGCACTGTGTTGTAGCAGGTACAGCTACCGATATGGGGGCCAGTTCAAGTAGATGCTCCACTCCTGATCCAGCTCTCTGCTATGGCCTCAGAAAGCAGCAGAAGATGGGCCAAGTCCTTGGGCCTCTGCACCACTTGGAGACCTGGAAGAAACTCCTGGCTCCCACTTCAGATCGACCCAGCTCCAGCCACTGTGGCCATTTGGAGAGTAAACCAGCAGATGGACAATCTCTCTGCCTCTACCTCTCCCTGTAACTCTGCCTTTCAAACACATAAATAAATTAATCTTTAAAAAAATAGGAAAGATGTTATTACAGGAAAAAAAATTCAAGAAGGGCAAACACATTGTTAATGATAGTTTAGTAAACAGGGTCTTGAAAATATTATATTCCTTTTGGAAATATTAACTAATATATAGTGATTAACATTTACCATTACGGCTCAATGTGTTAGACCACTGCTGGCAGTGTTGACATCCCATACTGGATGCCAGTTCAAGTCCTCGCTGCTCTACTTCTAATTCAGCTTCCCTCTAATGCACCTGGGAAGGCATCAGATGATGGTCCAAGTATGAAAACATCCACTCGATCTTAATTATTTATTATATTATTTCGAGATCAAGGGTTGATCATTATTTTGCTAAGTAATACTCAATAAATGTTTGTTAGACATATTATTAGAACTACTCAGGAGTGGGTATTTGGCCTAACAGTTAAAACACCAGTTGAGACATCTACATCTCACACTGGAGTACTTGGTTTTGAATTCTACTCCTGGTTCCAGCTTCCTGCTAATGCACACCCTAGAAGGCAGCAGGTAATGCCTCTGGTTGTTGAGTCCCTGTCACCTCCAAGGGAGATTCTGGCTCTCAACTTTGGTCTGACCCGCCTAGGGCCACTGTGGGTATTTAAAGCAAGAACAAGCAGATGGGAGCTCTCAGTTTCTCTCCCTTTCATATAAATAAAAACTATTCTAAGGGTTCTTCAGAGGTCTGCTCCTAAATAATTACCTTATGTAACTGAAGAACAGCAATATCAAATTGGAAAGGAACTAAATGATAGTCTACGTTCTTCACACTACAGGAAAATGAAATCTAAAGAAAGCAAAGTGAGGGTAAACACCAACATCTGAATCCACATTTCAAATACAAACTCAGATTTTTGATGTTGTCCAACTCTGACCCAGAAAAAAATCTCTCCCAGCATTCCTCTTCCAGCTTATTTTCTCAACTTTCTCAAGAGCTTAAGTATTTAGCAAGTTATTTAAAACTCAATTAAAAGCAATTTCTGCACTGAAAAATCTCTCACATATAGTATCATACTCCAAGTTTTAGTTAGGATAAAGTAGAAGAGATGGCATATTTACAATTATAACTTCAGCTCCCTATATTCACTACAGAAACTAAGAGCATTAAAGCTTGTTTTTAATGCACACAGTTACACTTTTTAATTTTTTTATTTTATTTATTTATTTATTTAATTTATTTTGAAAGGCAGAGTGGACAGTGAGAGAGACAGAGAGAAAGGTCTTCCTTTTTGCCGTTGGTTCACCTTCCAATGGCCGCTGCGGCCAGCACGCTGCAGCCAGCGCACCGCGCTGATCCGAAGGCAGGAGCCAGGTACTCATCCTGGTCTCCCATGGGGTGCAGGGCCCAAGCACTTGGGCCATCCTCCACTGTACTCCCTGGCCACGGCAGAGAGCTGGCCTGGAAGAGGGGCAACCGGGACAGAATCCGGCGCCCTGACAGGGACTAGAACCCGGTGTGCCGGCGCCGCAAGGTGGAGGATTTGCCTAGTGAGCCACGGCACCAGCCTTCAGTTACACATTTTTAATAAAGCTTTTCTCATAAAAATATTTAAGGGGCAAATGTTGCAGTACGACATAGATAGTGAAGTACCTGTTGTTGCTCTGCTTCTGATCCATATCTGTGCAAATTTTTCTTGGAAGTAGTGGCTGATGGTTCAAGTACTTGAGTCCTAGGCACCCACATGTGAGACTCAAAATGGAGTTCTGGGCTCCTGGCTTCAGCCAGGTCTAGTCCCAGCTGCTGTGGCCACTTGGGGAACGAACCAGCAGACTGTTCTCTATCTCTGCCTGTCAGTCTTTCAAATAAATATATCTTCTAAATAAATTTAAAAATTGTGAGCTTTGAGTTAAACTGCAGCCTATAATGCCAGCACTTCATATGAGCCGATTCAAGTCCCAGCTGCTCCATTTCTAATCCAGCTCCCTGCTAATGCACCTGGGAAAGCAGCAGAAGACGCCCCCAATGCTTGGGCAACCTGCCACCCAAACAGGAGACCTGGATGACGTTCCTGGCTCTGGCCTAGCCCAGCCCCAGTTGTTGTGCCCATTTCAGGAGTGATTCAGTACAAGAAAGATTTCTCTCTGTGTGAGTCTCTCCTTGTCTCTGACACTATGCCTTTCAAATAAATTACTATTTTTAAAAAGAGAAAAAATTAAAGGGAGAAAAATGACAAAGCTAAATTGAAATAATAAAGGCTATAAAGTCAGGGCCAGCGCTGTGGCAAAGTGGGCTGAGTCTCCACCTGAGGAACCAGCATCCCATATGGGCACTGGCAGCCAGCCATTCCTCTTCCTGTCCAGCCCCTCTGCTATGGCCTGAGAAAGCAGTGGAAGATGCAACAGCATGGGAGACTCAGAAGAAGCTCCTGGCTTCGGATCGGCACAGCTCCAGCCATTGCCACCGTTTGGGGAGTGAACCAGTGGATGGAAGACCTTTCTGTCTCTCCCTCTTTCAGTCTGTAACTCTACCTGTTGAATAAAAATAAATATTTAAAAAAATGAAAATTCTTAAAAAAAAAAAAAAAGCCAAGGCCCTGAGGGTCAGGAGGGCAGTGCTGAAAGGCATCCAAAGCCACGAAAATAACAATTCATATCACCTACCTTCTGACAGCCCAAGACACTATGCCTCTAGGGGTAGCCTGCATATCTTTAGAAGACAAGTTTGACCACCATGCCCTCATCGAGTTCCTCCTGACCACTGAGCTGTCCATGGAGATGGAAGACAACACATTTGCGTTCACTGTGGCAGTCAAGGCCGACAAGCACCAGACCCAATGGGTGTGAAGAAATTCTATGACACTGAAGTGGCTGAAGTTGGTACCTTGAATGGAAAGAAGCTGTGTATTCAACTGACTCCTGACTATGATGCTTTAGATGTTGCTGGCAAAACTAGGGTCCTCTAAACTGAGTCTAGCTAGCTAACCAAATTTGTGTATTTTCTTCATTTAAGGAGAAAGAAAAAAAAAGGAATACTGCATAATACCCAACAATTCCTGGAAGGCTCTAATTTCCTAGAGAGCTCTCTGGAACTCAGTGTAACAGATGTCCTCAGCCAGGCTGCACCATAACCCTCTTCTAAAAGGCAACACAACCCTGCAAAAAGAATTTTAAATAATAAACGGAAGAAAAATGAGGAACACGTTAATAAATAAATTATGATATGCCTATACTAACAGAACACCAAAACGATGCAGCTATATGCACAGGAAAGATGATTTTGTTAAAATATTTATGTATACAGATACATAATCCTACTTTTTATCCCAAAAATGAGTGTATTAATATATTATGCAAATATGCTTTTATTCATGCAAACAAAATCTCTATGCAGACAAACTACAAACACAGTTTATCTCTGAGCACCAGGTATTTAAAAAAAAGGGAGGAGGGGGCTTTTTTTTGCACTTTATTCCTTGTTTTCAATAGCAAATGATATAGGCAAATTACTTTAGTTATAAACTCTATTATACAAAATGAAGGTAATTCAATCTTCATAAAATTACTGAGGATTAAAATGAAATGATATCAAGTACCTATCATGTACAAAGTACAAAGCACAGGACAGGTGTTCAGCAGACGTTAAGTTGCTGTTTGGAATACCCTATCACATCATCTGAAGGCCTAGTTTAATTCCTGATACCACCACTTCTGATCCATCTGCCTGCCAACACACATCCTGGGAGGCAAGAGATGAAAGCTCAGGTACTTAGGCCTCAGACTGGAGACCCGGACTGACTTCCATGCTCCTGGTTTTAGCCTGGCCCAGCCCTGACTGTGGCAGGCATTTGGGGAGTAAACCAGCAAATAGATTGGCCTTTCTACCTTTCAAATAAAATAAAAATAACAAGAAGTGGAAGAAATCTCATGTTCATTAGAAGAGGAATATTTTAAGATATAGTACAGCTATACTAGGCATATTATACAGCCATTAACAAGAATGATAGGTCTAATGATGAATATATTATAATAGTCTTGATATTCAAGGATGTTCACAACACAAACTGCAAAACTATGTATTTTTTAAAAAATTTATTTATTTGAAAGGTACAATTAGAGAGAAAGAGGCAGAGAAAGATCTTCCATCCACTGGTTCACTCTCCAAACAGTCACTAGGGCCAGGGCTGGGCCAGGCAGAAGTCAGGAGCCTGGAGCTCCATCTGGGTCTCCCATGTGGGGCCCAAGTACTTGGCCACTGCCTTCCCAGGCACATTAGCAAAGAGCTGGGTTGGTACTGGAACAGCCAGAACTGGTACTGGTGTCCACATGGGATGCTGGCATTGCAGTGGTTTAACCTGTTGCACCACAATACTGGCCACAGATCTATGTATTTTTACCTATGAACAGTGATTACTCAAGAAAGGTGTTTGCTCATGCTGGTGGGATTTTTCCTTATTTTTTGTTTTGTCTGGTTTGACGACTTTAATTCCAATGTGGTTTTTTTTGTTTGTTTTTTGTTTTTTGTTTTTTTTTTTTGACAGGCAGAGTTAGACAGTGAGAGAGAGAAAGAGAGACAGAGAGAAAGGTCTTCCTTTTTCCATTGGTTCATCCCCTAGGTGGCCGCTACGGCTGGCACACTGCGCCAATCCGAAACCAGGAGCCAGGTGCTTCCTCCTGGTCTCCCATGCGGGTGCAGGGCCCAAGCACTTGGGCCATCCTCCACTGCACTCCCGGGCCACAGCAGAGAGCTGGCCTGGAAGAGGGGCAACCAGGACAGAATCTGGCGCCCCGACAGGGACTAGAACCCCGGGTGCTGGCACTGCAGGCAGAGGATTAGCCTAGTGAGCAGTGGTGCCGGCCTCAATGTTATTTTTAAAACTACACAAGCCCTAAGATTTTATTATCTTAATAATACAAGTGTTTTCTGTGACTTGTGCAATCCAAATGTTATATAATATAATAATTGCTATCAATTTTTAAATCTTCATTTTATTTGAAAGGCAGAGACAGCTATCTGCTGGTTGACTCTCCAGTTACCTACAACACCAACATGAACTTGAACCATCAACAACTACTTCCCAGGGTATACATCAGCAGGAAGCTGAATAGGAAGTGGATGAGCCATAATCTGATATGGGATTTTGGCATCCCAAACAGTGATTTAACCATTACATCACAATGCCTGCCCCCACAATTTTTAAAGTTAACATATAGCAAGGACCTCCAAAGTTCATGGAAATGGTTATTACTAAAAAAAAGTATAGATTTCAAAACTGTTCTGTGACAACATTGTTTTCTATTTTCCCCATGAATTTTTTCAAGTATCCTCACATACTAGAAATTGCTTCAATTTTATCTATTCTTTCAAAGGAACTTTTATTGAAAAAAGATTTATAATGTGTTTTAAATTTTAACAGAAAGACTAAGACAAGGCACACCAGAGTAACCATCAACATGGCAGTTAAGGAAAAAGCACAGTTACACCCTGGGTTACAGGAAGACTTTGCTGTCCTATCCAAAAGGCCAAAACAGGGCTAAGTGGGAGTTCTTCTCAAGCACCAAACTGCTGCACTGATTAAACTGATTAACAATGGAGAGACTTACCTTAAGTGCCAACGTTGCCAGTCTGGATAAAATCCGTACAGTCTAGATGCAGTTCTCAAATCCAACATCCAAAATGCCCATTTTCAATCAGCAAAGACAAGGGCACACAAAATTTAACCTAAAATACAAAGTCTCCAATTTGAGAAATTGCACACACAATTTGAGAAAAGCACACTAAAATAGCAAATAAGTAGGGTTACAAATAAAATAACAGATACTGTCACTTCTGGTTGGGAAATAATTATAAATGGCAAATTTTAAGCAATCTGAATCCTTTAACCTTGCTTAAAATCAAACATTCATTCTTAGATTTAAATGCTACAAGTTCCAAATCGCTGTTACAGGAGGAAACAATTCTGATTTGATAGTTAGCAATATGAAGCTTAACTATTTGCAAGCTTTTCCAAAGAAATTATTATCATCTTTAAGGACTTTGTAAACCATTTTCAACTAATAACTGCTTCTGAATGCACATTTTAAAAAGTACTAAATCAAAATATCTTGTTAAAAATTAAAAATGATAAGTTAATTCTCTCTGGTGAAGAGAATCAAAACATCAGTTTGTCCTCTCTTCCCTACAAAAAGCCCACATACCAAAAATGATTCCATAAAAACTGACAAGAACCCAGGAAACACTAAACACCATTTTCTCCTTCACTGAATACCAGTCCAGATTACACAAATCTGTTAAAGGCAGACACATGACAACAAAGTACTAATATTAATGAACAAGTTACGTTTCTAATTAACAGGAAATGCTTTTCTATAATTCACTATGTTGGGAACAGAAAACTATAATAACCTTATTAGAATGAAACTCCCACCCTCCGCCATCTATGTCAACAGAACAAACAGATCCTTCTACCCGCAAAGTAATCCTTAGTGACTGTAATGAAAATGTTAAGGTTATCATCTCTGGTCTCCCCAATGTTGGAACAAATTACCAAATGAAGTTGGCCGTGTGTATTATCAAAAACGCAAAACAGAAATTTAAGGAAACCAGAACTATGAGAAAAAGATGTCTGCGACTCTTCATACTTCAAAGTGCACAAACACCTATCCCATCTGTCAGAGGTATATATATTTGCCAAGTAATCAGCTAGCCTTTACCTAAGTGATTCCTGAGCAGCAATAACCTAGCCTAGCACACTTGACCTTTCTGCATGCCTCTTTCAATGTACAGTCCTGACAATCAGAAATCGCAGTGACAGGAACTCTAAAAACAGTCAATACTGAAACATCCTTTTACTTTAAAACCCAATACTCCCTCTTGTTGGGAAGCTTTGACTTTCAAAGCCAAGATTTAAGTCAAATATGTTGTCATTAACATTAAATCAAGTATACTAGGTTAACTGGTATTCTGCACCAACCCACCAGGTTATACATACTCTCAACTCAATCATGTAAAGAATTGAACTCTTTATTTGTAATATCCATAAACGTTGCTGTTCTGTATTTCTAACCAGAACGAGGATTTCTCCTATTACCAAGGTTTTTTAATAAACAATTTAAATTCAATTGCATGAAAGGGCTACAAATATACACGTTAACCAAGCAGAATACACAGATATTTTGCTTTACATCTTGCACCTAAGGTACCAGTACATGTACCTCGTTCATTGGTTGTCACAGCCACTTGGGCCACTGCCCTAGCAGTTTACATTTTCAAATCTCATGTAAGAAGGGCGACTGTGATATGGACTGGTAACTACATTCCTGTGAAGCCCATCTCAGTTACAATTAAGTGTGTAACTCCAAAGTCTGCACAGACTTTCTGATGACAAAACTTCTAAATCTGATGCAAGTGTCCTGAACAACTTTCTAAACAAACGGTTTTGCAGCTATGCTGCCATTCTGCCAGTAGATGTGGCTACAAAGATTGGAAGAAGGGTTTCCAAAAAGGATAACAGTTCAGATATAGACGGGAAAAAAAGGATTAAACCTGCTCAGAAAATACAAAAACGCATTTAGTGTGAGGGTAAAACATAACCCTTATTTGTAACCATTCATTAAACACAAATCAGTAAGAGGGATGAAACTCAGCCATCTGAAAAATTTTAAACAGTTTGTATGAATGAGAACACATGCGTAACACAAACTACTTCTTTAGAACTACACAGTACATACTTTGAAGTAAAGTCTCATAGAAAGAAGTGACCAACTATGTCAAGATGCTAAGTAAATCACTCAGTACAAGCGATGGATGCACATAAATTAAGATTTTAAAGAGTCACATCCACCACTTCAAGTTTTGCCTGAAAGGGATAAACTTCAACATGTCACTAGCAGAGCAACGGGGGAGGATAAAAACACAGAACCTCTGAAAAGCTTTTCTAAGTACACATCCAGAATTACACACACACAAAATCTTAAAACCAATATCCCTTAAATAGGTACGGAATGGATCCTAGAAAAAAAAATGTTAGACATGTACGGTCAAACACAATGATTTATTAAAAATAAAACGTAAAAATGATTTTTGTACATATGCTTCCAAATTTCAGGCATGGGATCCAAGTAGATCATAGAAAACGCTGTAGCCAGGTATCAAGTCCTTACAACAAAGTAAACTACTCCCCCTCCCAAACACCCGCCCGGGTTTTGCTACAGAATGAGCAAATTCACTCCCTCCCCCCCAAAAAACACAAATTAAAACAAGACATCTTGCTAGTATAAAAACGACCAAGTTCCAAGTAATAATAAAAAAATAGAGTCCATCAATGACTGTAACACAAAAATGTAGGGGGGGGGGGTCTAGTCCATCTTCAGAGGGAGGGTCGAGAGGTGCCAGGTAAACAGGGGGACACTCCCAAGGGTAAGCAGCCTCAGCGGCTCCCCCAAGGGCAAAATGGGGAAGGCGGTGGAGGAGTACGGGCCTCAGGAGTGGACCCCACTCGGCATGTTTCAGGGCCGCCCCTGCAGCCGCTCCCAGGCATTTCCAGCTTCTCAGAAGGAGCCGCCTCCGTAGCCGCCCCCACCGCCGTAGCCGCCTCTGTAAGGTCCGCTGTTACTGCGACCGCCCCAGCCGCCGCCGCCGCCGCCGCTCTTCATGGGCCCGTACGAAGACTGGTGCTGGCTGTAGCTGCCGAAGCCGCCGAAGCCGTTACCGTAGTCGCTGCCCCCGTACGACGAGCCGCCCCCGCCGCCGCCGTAGCCCCCGTAGCCGCCCCCGCCGTAGCCCCCGTAGCTGTTGTAGCCGCCGCCGCCGCCCTTGGCCAGGCCGTTCTGGTCTCGCCCCCCGCCGCGCCCCCGGCCGCCCCGGCCGCCCCGGGACGACCGGGAGCCGCCGCCGCCCCCGCCGGAGTGGATGTCCTCCTTGGGGACGGCCTTCTTCACCTCCACGCGATGGCCCTGGATGGGATGGAACTTGACCACCGCGGCCTTATCCGCCGCGTCGTGGTTCTGAAAATACACGAAGCCGAAGCCGCGCTTCTTGCCCGACTGCTTGTCGGCGATGATCTCGGCCTTTTCCACGGCGCCGAACTGCGAGAAGTGCTCGATCAGGTCGCCCTCGGCCACGTCTCCCTTCAGGCCCCCGACAAAGAGCTTCTTCACCTTGGCGTGGGCACCGGGCCGCGCCGAATCCTCGCGGGACACGGCCCGCTTCAGCTCCACCGTGTTGCCGTCCACGGCATGCGGCGACGCGGCCATGGCGGCATCCGCCTCCTCCACATTCGAGTAGGTCACGAAGCCAAAGCACCGGGAGCGCTTCGTCTGGGGGTTCACCACCACCACGCAGTCCGTCAAGGTCCCAAAGGCCTCGAAGTGGCCGCGCAGGCCCGACTCACTCGTCTGCACGTTGAGGCCACCGATGAAGAGCTTACACAGCTGGGAATTCTCCATCTCCACGGCCCGGGCCTTGCCCCCGCCCCGCGAGCCCCGAGGTTTCGCCGTCGCCGTTATCTGTCGCCGAGGCTTCTTCACAACTGGGGCCCAGCCGTCGCTGGAGCCGCCCCCGCCGGACACCGGCGGGGAAGGGGAGGGGAGGGGAGGGAAGGAGAAGAGGAGGGGGAGGGAGGGGAGCGGTGCGGGCGAGGAGGGCGCGCCGGGGAGACGGGCGAGCACCCAAGGCCGCCCCTGCCGCCACCGCCGCCACCTCCGCTCCCCTATCTGGGCACCACACAAAGAGGCCGCTGAACGCGCGCGTACCCTCCCCGCGGCGTGCGTCACCGCCGACGCACGGTAGCCTAGGGCCGCCCGCCAATCCCCGCCTCGCTCCTCTTGGTCCCGCCTACCGCGCCGCAGCGCCGGACTCAACCACCGACTCCCCGCCCGCCGCGGTCCATTCAAGCCCTCGGCCCCGGCGGGCGCGCCCACGTCTGCTGCTGTCCATCTGTCACTGCCGGGCGCCTCGGCGCGCCCTGGCAACGGACCTGCCCTGCCCTCCGCGACCCTCCGCATTCATTTCCGAGCAGCCCCCGGCTGTTCCCAGTGACTCTCCCCCTCCCCTTCCCCTATCCCCTCGCCCCGCTCCGCACTGGCGTTCGCGCCAGCCCCTTGAGAGGCGTGTGAGTGCAGCCAATCGCCGCAACCCCACGCACCCACTTCCGTTCTCGGCAGCTGCTGGACGGGCGCGCCCCCAGTGCGCGCTTGCCCGGGCGCCCCCTGAGTGCGGGGCGGCCGCCACCTGCACGCCTCCTACCGCTCCGGGCTGGGCGGGGCAGGGGCTGGGGGCCTCGCTGGGGGCCGTTCCCAACGGCTACTGCCTGGGGCGCCACGCGCGGGCGCTTTGAAAACTTAACTGCTGGGGTTCGGGGCCGGGGTTTACCCGCCGCGTCTCGGCCGGGCGGCTACACCTGGCGGCCCCGCCCCTCCTCTCGCCCCCGTAAAGATGGAGGGCGGAGGACTGGTCCAGGGAGGCGGTTGGTAACGGTTACCAGTGGGCCGGGCGCGTGGCTGAACCAAAACTTGAACACGTGGCGTAGTAATGCGCAAAAGCGAGTCCGAGGCGGTGTGAAAGATAACAGGGTGCGAAAACCTCACGCCGAGGCGGGGCTCCGCCACATCTAACGTCCCACCCGCTCCGCACACTCCTGCAGACATTTTCACTAACCTCAGGATACACTCTTATAACTTAAGTCATCTGTGCGCTGCCCCCTTCCAATTCACGTTTTGGCTTTTTCCAGACGTTTTATATCAAACCAAGAATAGCTGAGCATTGTATTCGCAAAGAGCCCGTCTGCACACCTGATGCCTGCCTTTAAGTGCCCTCCGCAGGCCAAAACTTTGAACTGTTTGAACCTTTGTGGCCAAACAAGATGCCTAGACTGGGACGTGGCACTAGGACACCAAGAGCCTCCCAAACCAGATGGTTATTACTGAAGAAGCTCAGAGTGATTCCTCACTGTTTCCTCGAGTATTGGGGAAGGATTTGGGAAAGAGGTTAAAGTTGTACTGGATCTGGGAGACGAAGACTGGATAAGATTTCTGCAGGAAACTTGCGCTTCAGGGGGCAATGGGTGAATCCGTTTGAGCAGAGCAGGCAGTAGGATAGAAAAGAGGCAAGGTAGGTTGGGGGGGGTCTTCTGATATAACGGAATGTCTTGGATCTTAGATTAAGGAGTTTGAATATGATAAAGTATATAGATGGGTTTAAGGCTTGGGGGAAAACTAGGGCTCAGTCCTGCCACTTAACACTATGATCATCCAATTGTGCATCTTTGGGCAAATCATTTAACCCTTTTTTAAAATTTAACCACTTTTTTTTAACTTAAGATGAATAATAAAACACTTCCACAGTGTGATAAAAATTGAGATTCTGCATGTGAACACCAGGAAGTTTCCTGGTATATAGTAAGTGCTCAATTTGTACTGTATATGGGTACTATCAGATTGAATTGCTAGCCAAATAGGTAGGACTTGGGGCAGATTATCAGATTTTGAGAAATTTAAACATATACCCTAAAATACACACATCTAAGTACATACGCAGGCACAGATTCACACGCATGTGAGTCTTCCAAATTAACAGCATTTAGACATTTTTTAATGTTTCCATTTTACTTATTCATGGACTAGGTGCTGTGAATAAAAATGAATTCTGGAGTCTTGGGGTAGAGAGAAAACAGTATGCCAGAAGTTGCAAATATGATGTGTTAAGACAGAAATGGGCAAAAACTCAGAGTTCAAGAAATTGTTCTAATAGGAGCCAACTTCAAAAGTAGGTGTACTTAGGAAGCTGTGTTTGGAATTACACAAGTAAACTACCAAGGGTGTGTGATGGTATGTTAGTTTCCTATTGCTACTGTAATAAATTGCAAACTTGTGGCTTAAAAAACAAATGGGGATAAGCATTTTAGAGCACCAAGTTAAGCTGCAGCTTGAGACACCCACACCTCATATCAGAGTGCCTGGCTTGAGTCCTGGCTATTTCATGCTTCTGATTCAGCTTCCTTCTAATGCACCTGGGAGGCAGTTGATGTTGACCCAAGTATGTTGTTGGTTCCTGCCACCCACGAGGGAGATGCAGGTGGAGTTCCTGTCTCCTGGATTTTGCCTGGCCTAGCCTTGGCTACCGTGGGTATTTGGGGAGGGAATAAGTGAAGCTCGCTTGCTCCCTCTCTCTCTTTCTCCCTCTGTCACTGTCTTTGAAATAAATACTTTAAAATTTTAAAAATGTATTAGTTCTGTAGATTGGAAGTCAAACACAAGTCTGACTATGCAAATCAAGTGTTAGCAGGGCTTTGCTCCTTTCTGGACGTTCTAAGGGAGAATGAGTCTTTGCCTTTTCTAGCTTCTAGAGATTGCTGGTATTCCTTTGCTTGTGGCCCCCTTCCATCTTCAAAGTCAGTTGGGTCTCACACTGAACTACTCTGACACTGACTCTTCTGTCTCCCAGGTAATATAGGTGCTATGTACTAAATGTTTGTGTCCCTCTCCTCAAATTCATATGTTGAAACCCAAATCTTAATGTGATAGCCTATGAGAAGTAATCATGAAGATGGAACTCTCATGAAAGAGAGGCAGCCAGCTCTCTCTGAAAATGAGGATACCATGGGAAGTCGGGAGACTGTAACCTGGAAGAGGACCCTCACTATAACATATCCATGCTGACACTCAGTTCTTGCACTTTGAGCCTCCAGAACTGTGAGAAATTTCTGTTATTTATAAACCACCCAGTCTTTTGTACTTTGTTATAAGTCCAAACTAAAACACTGAGATAATCCTTTTATTGTAAAGTCAACTGATTAGCAACTTTAATTCCCCCTTGTCATGTAACATAGCATATTCAGTTTTCTCTCTACCCCAAGACTCCAGAGTTCACTTTTATTCACAGCACCTAGTCCATGAATAAACAAAATGAATAAATAAAAATGAAGATTTTGATATTTTGGGGGGACCATTTTCTGTCTACATCAAGTGGGAGCAAGAGAAAATGAGTCTGGAAAGGTAAGCAGAGGATAAATCCAAAAAGATTGTATATGTCTTGCTAAGAATTTCAGTCTTTAAGTCTATAACAAGGTAACATTGAAGACTTTTAAGGAGGATAACAGACTGCATTTAGAAAACTGTCCTATGTGTAGTATGAAAAAGAGTAATTAGAGTAGGATACAACTTGAGAAAAGCCCAATTAGAATATCTGTACATAATACATAATGCCAGTGAGCATCTCAAGGTTCTGAAGGAAGGCAAAGGCAGTAAGAATTGGATGTGAATTGGATATGAAGAATGATTTGAGAGACTTCAGAGTGGGATTTTACTTGATACAGTAATCAACTGATTCTGGTGGTAAAGTTTTTTTTGTGATAATATAGGTCATAGTTTCACTTAAAAAAGGGGTAGGGACAAACCTCGATCTCCACCTAAATAAATATGAAGCAAGACCCCTACCTTACACCTTACACAAAAACCCACTCACAGTGGATTAAAGACTTAAATCTATGACTAGATACCATCAAATTATTAGAGAACATTGGGGAAACCCTGCAAGACATCGGCATAAGCAAAGCGTTCTTGGAAAGGACCCCAGAGGCACAGGCAATCAAAGCCAAAATTGACAAATGGGATTACACCAAGCTGAGAAGCTTCTGTACTGCAAAAGAAATACTCAGCAAAGTAAAGAGGCAACTGACAGAATGAAAGAAATTATTTACAAACTATGCAACTGATAAAGGGTTAATAACCAGAATATATAAAGAGATCAAGAAACTCTACAGCAACAAAACAAACAACCCAGTTAAGAAATGGCAAAGAAATTAAACAGACACTTTTTCAAAAGAGGAAATCCAAATGGCCAACAGACACATGAAAAAAGTGCTCAGGATCACTAGCCATCAGGGAAATGCATATCAAAACCACTATGAGGTTTCACCTCACCCCCATCAGAATGGCTTTCAAATAGAAATCAACAAACAACAAATGCTGTCGAGAATGTGGGGAAAAAGGTACCCTAATCCACTATTTGTGGGAATGTAAACTGGTAAAACCACTTTGGAAGACAGTATGGAGATACTTCAGAAGTCTGAATATAGACCTGCCATAGGACCCAGCCATCCCACGCCTGGAAATTTACCCAAGGGAAATGAAATCAGCATATGAAAGAGTTATCTGTACACCCGTGTTTATATCAGACCAGTTCACAATAGCTAAGACATGGAATCAACCCAAATGCCCGTCAACTGAAGACAGGATAAAGAAATTATGGGGTATGTACACCATGGAATACTACATCATGGAAGGAAGGAAAGAAGGAGGGAAGGAGGGAAGGAAGGAAGGAAGGAGGGAGGGGTGGATGAGGGAGGGGAAGGGAGGGAGGGGAAGGAAGGAGAGAACGAGAGAGAGAGAGAGAGGGAGAGAGAGAGATCCAGTAATTTGCATCAAATGGATGAAACTGGAAAACATCAACCTTAGTGCAATAAGCCAGTCCCAAAGGGACAAATACCATATTTTCTCCCTGACCTGTGAAAACTAATAGAGCACCTAAAAGGCAATCTGTAGGAGTGAAATTGACATGCTGAGAAGCAATGACTGAACAGCCCTTCTCTTGACTGTTGAGGGACAGGTTTCTTTTTTGTTGTTGTTGTTACTATTTGTTGAACTCTTTACTTAACATGGAGTTAATCATATGTGTATAAAGTTAGGTGAAAATAGATCCTAGTAAAAACATAAGAGTGGGAATAAGAGAGGGAAATGGAAAAGGAGTGGAGCATGGGTTGGAGCATGGGTAGGAGGGCAGGCATGGTGGGAAAAATCACCATGTTCCTAAAGTTGTAACTAGGAAGTGTATGGAGTTTGTAACTGTAAAGCTGTATAGTTCTGTGTACATTCCTATAGGCTTACTTCTTTTTTTTTTAATTTTTTTTTTTTTTGACAGAGTGGACAGTGAGAGAGAGAGAGAGACAGAGAGAAAGGTCTTCCTTTTGCCATTGGTTCACCCTCCAATGGCCGCTGCAGCCGGTGCACCGCGCTGAT